CCCACAGTGTACATTGTTGTACTAAATTACATTGTGGTGATAACATATAAAAGCAATAAGTTTTTTTAGCATGATGAAATATTTCGTCATATGCGGTTAATGGATTAATAAGAGACTAAATTTATTGAAATTAAATTTTATTAATATGAAATAAAAATTTTAAAAATATTAATAAAAGTACTTTTCTATTAGTCTTCTAATAGTTTTTTTTTTTCAGAAATTCGAAAAAACGCGCGATGACAAGCAGGTCGTCTCTATAAATAATCCTGTCTAGACTGTTTAGTATACTTGTCACATCTACACACTCAAATCAATCAAAGTACAGTATGAACTGATGAAACTCAGTTTTCAATAGATCAACACATTCATTGATGAATTGAAAGATCAATGTTTTTTGTATAAATAAATTTAAGTTATATATTTAGTCACATGACTATTAGAGTCATTGAGTTAATATGTTCTTATTCTGCTGAATATATTACATAATACATACATATAAATATGCTAAAAACACAAAACTGAAATATTATATGCATGCATATTCTGACTTTACAAAAATAAAAGAGAATCATTACATTTAAAAATTTTTGTCTTACATACGAGTAGAATCATGAACAAGTTATAGAAAAAGGAAATTGAAAGTAAATACACTGTGCAAATCAAAAATACTTATTATAGAAATACAAAAAACTTCAATACTATCGAAAACTCTTTCTAAAATATTCGATAAATTATTACGGTTAATAGAACATTAATATGAGAATCAATGATTATGTAACATCATACGTGTTCGTTCATTATAGAATATATTTTACATCACGTACATATTTCATGCATATTTAATAATTACAGATACCAAGTGTATTCAAAATTAAAATACATTATTCCGTTTCAATTACTTCTGCATATCGACGCATGATATAAATATATTGATATGAATATATTTTTCTACATTTCACGCAGCGCAGAAATTCAAAAGAAACATATGTTGCTTCTTCGACGTATCATTCAACGATCGAGTAGACGTTAACATAGACTGATCTCACAAAATTTTTGACGCGAAAATTTAGAAAAAGGAAACGATCGAACAGTTTCTCTTGCCTTACTGAAACAAATATTAATTTAGACCGAAAGAAGAATAGAAAAGCCGTTAAAACTGAGAAAATCGGCGAGATTTTTGTACGCGCGCTACGAAAGAGAAATCAAGAGGTCTCCCCAGCAACAGAGTCCGACAAGTGCGAGCAGCAGCCGCCAGAGGTGAATTTCAAGCCAATGGCAGCGCTTGGTAACGAATCGGCGGGATGAGCCGAGCTAGCTGATTGGCCTGACGATCGCTAAGGGAGACATGGTGGGACAACGGATAAACAGACTTAGTAGTTTTGTAGTGCTTGTGGCGCAAGAACGCGCAGAGGGAGAATCGGTGCCTGGTGTGCGCATGTTCCGTCGCGGGTCCTTACGCAGTGAAAGATTCAACATTCGTGCGGGCGTAATTGTCGTTTGTCATGTGATTCTGGACACTTACCGCGGGATGTCACGTCGAAATAACATCGGCAAGTGAGACACGGGTGTACATTAAACGTCGTTTCACCGGTTAAAGCGAAGCGGTTGCTTTTGTTTACAAAGAGGAGGGGAGGGGCAAATTGCACGAGGTTCCCGAGCGTGGATGCTGACTGCTAGGCAGTTTCCCGCGCGACGCACGTGAGTTCGGTGAGCTTGATGAGGACCCATAACCTCGAGAGATAGATTCGTTTGGCAAGTGTGATGTACGGTGAATCATTGGAATGTCAACGTGGTGAAACGCGGCTGCGTTTGTATTGTGTGTCCTGAGTTTTGTTTCCTGTCGTGCGTATCGTAGGGAACTGAATATGCCCGTTGTTCGAGAACGTCCGACAATTCCATGTGAAACGAGGTAGCTTTTGTGTTCCCCGCTTTGTCAAGAGAGAGAGAGAGAGAAAGATTTTCTACAAAAAAGGCGCGAAAGATGATGGACGAAACGGAGAATATAAACGTCAAAGAAACACCGTGTATCTCGATAAACTCGACCAATCATAGCTGGTATGACAGTGTCGATAGCGGTTACGTGTCGCTCACGCCTCAGTCCGGTGGCTACACGCCAATTATTTCAGGATATAGATCTAGGGTATCGTATATCTCGTCGAAGAGGCATCATAGAATACGATTGGATCCTCTTCAATCGGACTTGCGGGCCCAAAGACACAGCACACCTCAGATAATAAGCCAGGTTTCACCCAGGCGAAAAACGTCGCCGTCGTCGCATATCGTTCTATCGCCAAACTGTGTAAAAAAAGCTAGTCCCCCGATTACTTCGACGGACAACCAGAAATCGAGTAAATACTCGATCACGAATCTTGCTACGATCGCCGAGATCAAACCAAAGAGGTTGGACTTCAGTCATTGTGCGTTGTCCGGTGCTCTGCATCACATCAGAGCCACGCCAGATTACACGGGTAGAGAAACGGTGGATATACTGGCGCTTCTTGGCGACAAGAGCAATCATTGGAGAATCGTGTCCAAGATACTGTCGTTTCTCGGGCCGCAGGATCTCTGTTCGGTAAGCATGGTGTCGAAAACGTGGAGGACGATTTGTATGAACGATTCTAAAGCCAATACCAGAAGACTGATCCACGTAATACTCAGAAAGAACGTTAAAGAGAATCTGAAGCTAATCAAAAAGTCAAAGATGGAGGGAGACATTCAGAGCAGCCCCAAAAGCAGATACGCCAGGAAAGGATATTTGCTCGAGGTGCAAAATCTTCTTCAAGTACCAGGAAATCAGCTACCACCTGGCAGTCCACCTGTTTCTCCCAGCAAAGTGAAATTTCACTCTTTCGTCAAGGTAAGTGAATTCCTCGATGTATTTGTCGTCAAATAAGTATCCCATCGTGGATTTCCATTCGAAGTGATACCTAAGAAAATGATCATTAGATGCAGAATAAACGGAAATAAGTAAATGTAACTTGAATTATTCTACGTTGTTTCAAATTAGTTTGAAACTTTTGTTACATTTATTTTAGATGAAATTCTACTTTATCGACAATTAAATTTAACGTGGTAATATATAAGGTGTAAGAAATTAAATTGAATTATCAGTTCATCAACCTGTGTGAGAAACGTGAGAAAAAGCGCATGCATTTTCTACGGCGCGAACGTTGCCGTATTTAAACGATACACAAAGTTTCTCTCTGAGGATCGTATTCGATCCCTGTAAAGAAAGAAATATATGTTCTACATCAGTCGGAGTCGTATTTTTGTCGGCATTCGAGTGACGAGTAGTCAAATTTCAATGAGAATTTATTTGCTATTCTTATTGTTAAATATTGAATCTCGAAAGAATTTTATTTCGATAAGACAGGAGGTTGCATTGATTTAGCAGGGAGAATTGAATAATTTATTAGAAAAAAAATCGGAAACTTTATTCTTTATTTCTAACTGCAGTTAAAAATAATATAAACTTAATTTTACAGTTTAATGCCGATTTATAATATTATGTTTCTCGAAAAGTTTTCTGTTTCTGGACTAATTAGTTTTTCAATTACGAGTCTTGTAAATTAATATAAATTAATACGAGCGAGTTCGATGCCGGTGCTGATATTTGATACTGACAATGATATTTAAAATGAGAAGATAGTGAATGACTATTTGCAATTTTAATTCTATTTTTCAACATTACAAAAGGTAATTTCGACAATTCTCCTAGTATTTCGTTTCGTCATTATTTTCATTATTTAGATTTTACAATTTTAAAATTTTTTCTACCTCATACTGCATTTAAACATTATTTCGCGGTTTGATTTTCAATCGATAAATTCGTTTATTAATTCGCGGAGTTCGGTGAAATTAACCTAACTGACAGTTCGTGATTGCGTGCTTCAGTACGCACTTAAAAGCGGTAGAGTAACTAATTACATTGTGGTTTGTGGTGAGATGAAATTCTCCGCGTTATTGAGTAATGATGTATATGTACAATATTCTGCCAGCTCGATTAAGAAGGCGAAAAGATATTTGATATGAAATATCATCAGCCGTATCTAAACCTATAATTAGGTTGCTTGTATATATTTTCTTCTTTTTTTTTTTGTCCCATCATCACTGCGCTGTCTAAGGCCGTACTTTTACGAGCAGAATTTCGGGGAATAATTACGCAGTAGTGATCGATTTCGAGCCCAGTAGTCTAGGCTTTCTTTTAACCGCTTGTGTTATACCTGGTCGACGTAATTTGCACATGAGCGACACGAACTCGAATTCGAATTAAGCAACATAATTGTTTCGTTGGCGGGATCATCTGTTTGACGTTGATTTATTGTGATTTCTTCTTTGAAATGCCGCTGGCTCGTCAACCGCGACGACGACGGCAGACATATTCAACCCTGAAAAATCGCCCTCTCGCGACGGACGACGAGCTTTCGACGCGGCAGATTCTGCGATTGCTAGGGCCTAATTTAACCGTGTCTAATCAAGGTACGACATGAGAAAAATTTCTCGAAAAGTAATTATGAAGTAATCGTTTAAAGAACACATTGTTGCTAAAATTACATAATTGATTCGATAGTAATGCTTTTATAGAACATCTGAGAGCAAACGCGTTTGTCACTACCTTCTTCTTTCGTTGAATATTTTAGCTTTTTGAATTGCAATTCAAATCAAAGAGAAAAACATTTTTTATTATTATTATTATATCTTACATTTATTTTATTTAATTGTACAATTGTTTTTCTTTTATATTATTATTATTATTATTATATTAATTTATTATTATATTATTAATTTATATTATTATTATATCTTACATTTATTTTATTTAATTGTACAATTGTTTTTCTTTTATGCTCCTTATAAATGATCTCGTCTCCGCTTTTTATGGGTTAATTAAAGTTATTGCAGAAGATAATTCAAAGTCGAAATTTTTTATTTTTTATTTTTTATCAGAAGTGTAGCTCATGATATGAAAAAACAAATTTAATTATTTTCAAGTTTTCTTCAGAATTATTTGAACATACAGGTATACAAATAATTCTCAATTCCCCGATCTGTTTACACATTTTCCAAACTAACGTAGTTGGATTTTTGTTTGCCTGTTGATAAATTATCTATCGAGTTGATCTAGGGGGAAAGGAAAGCTTGCTTGTTTCTCTTCTTCATTCATGGTCGCAAGCACGTTTAATGGTAACTACCTGCTATTTGCACTTTCAGCTTTCACGGTGTGGATTTCTTCTCGCGTTGAGTCTGGCGATAACAGCTGATTAGTAGGCGGCCGCTTTGTTATCGCGGCGCGAGTAACAAAAGCTCTGCGGGCACGGCATGCGGCACTTTTCAAGGCTTGCATGCACGCACTGCGATAATAAAGTATTCGTCAATCTCTTTATTGAACGAATTAGCATTGCATTCCGCGAATTAATTTCGTACAGTCTTGCTAAATGATCATTCCGGCTTCAGATTAATCACCTCCATAATTTTATCTGTTGTTGCTGATGTATATTTTTATCCTGTGCTGCGGGGCCAGCGCCGCCATGTTGGTTTCAAGAAATCGAAGAATTTCTTCGGTAAATTTTCTACGCGTAAAAAATGTCTACTAGAAAGATTTTTAAAATTCGAAAATTACCCTAAAAAAAAAAATCTTAAAGTCAATTTTATTTCGGATAACTGTAAATCTGTTTTCCTTGAAACTATATTTCGCGTAGTAAAATAATTAATCGCATGACGATCATAAATTGCAATTTACGTTGTTGGAAAAAGAAGCTTAATCGATTAAATATACTTGTTCCTC